TTACTCTCTCGTTAACAGCTGATAACATTACCGTACTGGTATTATTCATGTACTTGTGCCCTAGTTAGGATCTGATATGCACGTCTGTCTCCTAATCTATTTGTTTCTGAATGGTGACCAGCAGTAAACCCTCCAATTCGGCTGATAGTTGTCGGAAACAACCCTAACGCAATCCACCATCTCAAACCACTCTACAAGTTGATATACCAGAGATAGTGGAGTGGTCTCAACATGGGAAACTGCACTCGCTCTTCTGATTTAGACTAAATACCGAATTACGTAGAGTTCCCGTCCAAAGACTATGTGAAACTCTGAGACAGTTAGATTCGAACATAGTTTTTCCAGCCATCTGCGCTACCTCATGGTCTACCAACTTCGCCGTTTTTTCCAATGTGACCCAATATCTGAGAACAGAGCACTGAGTAAAGTAGACGTTGACTCCAAATAGTCGTAGAATTTACACAACCATCTCAAGCAGTTTGTAATGAATATCGCTTATAGGGTCAACATTTCTGTTTCCTTTCTCAGCGAAATTCATCTGTGTATTAGAAATCCACAAATGCCAATGCGGACAATATGTTGTAGAGAATCACGAAAAACGGTGAATAACGACAGTCTGATAAGCGGATAAAGTTGATGCCATTATCGGCAAGATACAAATAACCAGCCAGGCGGTTATACTGAACAACCATATCGTTGACACTGTTGAATGCACCATGAGTGTCTCTCTGTGGCAGGAATCGGTAGTTGTGCTTCTNTCTGTCAATGAAAACAGAATGATTACTCGTGCATCACCATCCTCAAACTGAATGTAATCCGTGCAGCCAGACGATACACACCTAGTCCACGTCAAGCGATTCGGCGAGTTACGGGGTTTTGTGGATCTCAACCTTTTTACACCCCCCCCTACCCAACTTTCTTCGCCCTTTCTTCGTGCTGTTTTCCTCTATCACCGCCCCCCCCCTGAGGAGTGCACTCGTCACCAAGTTCTACTGTTCTATCAGAAATGAACCAACAAGTAATGGGTGGGAACCAGAATAACTTGAACTGTGACTGCGTGTGGATCATAGACTATAATCGTCCAGATATGTGCGACCGATTAGTTGATTTCAATTCCGTATTTCCGAACTTTAAAAAACTTGAACATCTTTCTACTGATATGTACCCAGTTTTTTCAAGTTATTTGAACTAATCTCACTGTGTTTCTTATCTCCTTATCTTATCTCCTTCGCACAGGACGCCCCGGAATTTCATTGTTTGTTCATGAACTTGTTGGAGGCGCGTTTCCGTGAATCGGGTCTTTCGATTGTGAATGATCTGTTTCGCGGTGAGATTGTGTACGAGACCAGGTATGTGATATCGGCCTTGCTCACCTGGATGGTTTTGTTTTGTCTGGCTAGATTGTGGACCGTTGTTTCAGTTTCAGTTTGCACAAACCATGCACTTCCGCGCTTCGGTTTTGGTTGTTGTGTTTTGGCCGTCCATTTGGATAAAAGAGAAGGATGAAGATTGGAATGTTGAAAGCCAACTCAAGTGAAAGATATAGACTAGTGTTAGGAGAATAATGAGTATCTCCAATATTGACTGGTTTTGGACTGTTTATCCATTCGAGACTATCGGACTGAATGTGCATACTCGTGGATCACATCAAGCTATGTATGTCATATACGCAGAGCAGCTAAAATTTATTCAAGAGATTTCTCAAATTGCATTATTCAAATACTTCTGTATTTCCAAGTTAACAATATAATGATTGTGTGGGAATTTTTGTTCATATTGTCCGATTTAGTTGACACGTTTGTTGCTTCTTTATGCAGATGTAACCGGCTGATTACTTTGCCCGTCACATTTTTTAAACAGGTGTCTCAATTGTGGTTTCACTTCAAGGCAACCGTCCAAATTTCTGGAGCTGTCGTTGAAAGTTTCATCGAATTCCTTGGTTGGTTGCATTGCAGACTATCTGAAAGTGAGTTGTCACATGCCTTCAGCCACTGGAGAACATTTACAAACTGTTTTCTACTCACGCATGCGCGCGAATCACTTGAAATGTTTCATCATAATAATAATGTGGTTGGCTGTTACATAAAATTGTCGTTCTTTTAAATTCACATTATACTGCCCTTGTCGTTTATTTTTCTCAGCTGCATCGCGTGTTCGACATTGGATGACCAAGTCACTCGAGAGCTCAACGCCGTATTCCACTCTCCTTCATCTAATTTTGACCATTTTCTCTTGTCTCCTCACTTAGGAAGAACCGTTGGTTGGTGAAAATCGATATGCTTGCTCACATTGTGGAGAGAAGCAAGACGGTATTCGACGCGTGTATATCACACGTGCTCCGTCGTTACTCTGCGTACAACTGCTCCGGTTCACTTACGATCCACGAACTGGTCAGCGAAAAAAACAGAAAGCCAGCGTTCGCCTCCCTGACACACTCGAACTGACCGCTCTGACTTCGAGCAAATCAACGACCCAATCAGATAATTCTGTGGCTTGCCTAGTACCAAATATTGGTAAGCACAATTGCAAATGTTCTGTGTGTGTGTTTGGTGCAGTGATACCGTTGCAGTAGGAATTGATCAATGGAGGCAGTAAACAGGGCCAAGCAATCAACTGTGCAACTTATCTTCTATTCAAAGGAACTTCTTGTCCGCGGATGTACAAACTATGCGGTGTCTTGCTGCATATCGGTGCACAACCCACATCTGGTCACTATATTGCGGTCGTTCGCGATTCCGGTCCCTCAGACACATCAAGTGGGATTGATTCGGCGGCAGTCACCGCAACATGTAACACACATTGTACCAATTTGAACTCGGACACCTGGACCGTGTGTAATGATATGGAAGTACGTTTGTCGTTTTTTTAGAGCCACGTTGTTGATTATTATTTTCATGTTTCACCTTTTTCACGAATGCTGTAGCCGTATCGTGCTGAGTTTAGGATAATGCTCTAGTTTCATAGATTGATTTAATGTGGACGCGCATTGCGGATGGAGTTCCCCAAAAAGACAGCTGTTCGCCGGGAGAAGATCTCTGGTATGTCATTCACGATCTGTGTAACAAATTTGATCAGTGGATGCCCCACGGATTCATATCTGTCCCCAGGTTGGGACCCACTTAATCGATTTTTCAATAAATGTCTTAGTTTTGCGCCAGGCATCTCCCTCCTTTGACCGCCCACATTGAGTGTGATGTTTGCAGAATTGGTCGGCTGTCTTTGAAGATTCGGAATTTCAGACAATATCACGTTAGTCACTCGATGATTTTTTTCTTTTATTTATCAGTGCATCTTAACCCTCAATTTTTTGATATATTTTTGATGTCATTTTTCGTGGTTCGCTTAAGAAAAAAGATTTCTACATGCTGCGTTACGGTTTGACAACTATCAGTCGTGTGTTCACCATCCCTCTCGAACTGCCCGATATCTTTGTGTTAGTGCGTGCGAGACGGTTGCTCAAAAATTTTCGAGAACTACCCACATTATAATTTGGTTGCACATTGGCAATGAAAGTGTGCATTCCTCGAATTGTATGGAGATTCGAGGTTTGTACATCCTAACCGTAGATTGCATTTCATGACAATCTAGTCTTCTGTTGACTTCGGGATTTGTGCGTCTCTTGATCGTCTGGACGGATTTCAAGTTCGAAACTCGTATTATTAGAATCTTCTACAAGG